AGCTATTTTTATTTAATATCGTATTCTTATTTCAAGCAAGTACATAATTTCCGTACGGTCTATCTTCCGGAAATTACTACTTAACCTATTAAAGGATAACTTCATAATATATTATCCTATCTGAAGTTAATATAAATCTTTGAACTTTAGATAGTACAAAATATACAGTTCAAAGCGAAAAAGACTGTCAAAACTGCAAGATCACAGAATTTGAGTTAAAAATTGTTACAGCAAAGGTTATCGTTCAATTTATTTATAATATTTCTTTTATCATTGTTATTATTATTATTATTATTATTATTATTATTATTTATTATTATTATTATTATTATCATTATTGTTATTATTATTGCTATTATTATTATTATTGTTATTATTGTTGTTGCTTCACTATTTATCTTATCATTTTAGATGAATGAATTAGAAATGAAATTGAGATCAAATTTGGAAACAAAGGAACGTATGGCTGAAATTCTTGTGAAAAAAGTATGTTGACATAAGCGACAACAGATGATCGATTTTTTCAACTTGCTCAAATTTCCTTTAATTTTTTCGATTAATTTAAGCATTTCTTTAACTTTTTCAAGTTAGTTCCATTGTTTCAGAAAAAAGGACGACAAAGTCCAAGTATCACTAAGATCAAAAAGATAATTACAGATGAGAAATGTTGGAACACTGCTTCCTATGTAAGTTGTAGATGACATTTGACAAATCGCTGGGGCATTAGCTAGAGGTGAACAAGCCATATTTGGGCAGCGAAATTATTAAATAAAACGTAACCTATTTGATTGAATAGCAAATAGTGGAACCGTTTCTTACCTGCAATTATCTTTTTTTTTAAAAGAAAAATCATGATTAATGAGAATAATGAGAATAATAATTAGTGCATAATAGGTGATTAGAAGAGAACAAATTCACAGGCTAGATGTAATGATAGCTAGGAAAAGATCAAATTTATTTTGCAGGAAGAACAGGAAAGAAAAATTAGCGAATTACAGAATGATATGTTAATTCAAAGAGATTACTATCAAAAAGAATTGGAAGAGAGTTGCGATGAGAAGGAACGATTAAATATGGAAGTGAGATATTTAAATTTTTGATTATTAAATGATTGATTCGTTTGAAATTTTCGAAACAAAACTGATTTTTATTCAAATTATAGCTATTAAAAGTTGATGAGAAAATTAGCATTTTGGAAAAAGCAACAAAAAGATTGGAAAATGAAAATGCAAAATATCTCACCATAATACAGGTAGATTTTTACAATCAAAGAATTTAATTTATAAAAAAAAAGGAAAAACAAATCAGGAAGATAGAATTAACTGCAATTCGATCTAATTAAATTTAAACTTAATTTAATTCAATTTAGTTAAACTCAAAATTTCATTTAATTTCATAAATGAAATTCATTGCTTAAAATAATTCGATTTTTTTAACATTAAAAGAACAAATACCTTAATTTTTTTTTTTTTTCAAAGGAAATGCGTCAAAATTCGGCAAAACAATTGGAAGAAGAAGCAGCTAAAATGAAGCAATCAATGAAAATGAAACAAATGATAAAAGAAGAATTGTATCAATCAAGTAAAGGAATGGAAGCACGACTTGAATTAATGCTAAAGCAAATATGTGATGATAATGTTAAACTTCATGAACATTTATGGAAAATTGAAGAAACATATGGAAATGGAAAAGTTAAAAGGATTGAAAGAGAAAAATTTCAACAAGAATTAAAGAAAAAACTTAACGATTTATTGCGAAAATTTAAAATTGAAGCAATTAGTTCAAATTTGAAATGGTCAAATGACGAAACTATACAATATGCTATAGATAATTTTGAAGCAACAATTGAAATTATTTTACAAGATAAGCCGTCATTTCATTCTTTGGCTGAACGACTTTCAGTTTTTATTGAGGCAAAGAATAAACGAAACAATGAGGTTTGATTGTTTTTTTTTTCGTTCTTTTTTTTTGTTTCAATTTTGATCAAAGATTATTAAGTGTTTTAAATTCAAAACAAGTTTGATCAAAGATTATTAAGTGTTTTAAATTCAAAACAAATTAAAGCAAAAAAATTTTTCCACGAAAGAATAGGAATTAAATGATATATATATATATATATGGAAATTTCTTTTTTTTTTTTTCAGCAATTACAATTATCCAAGTATGATAATGCAAAAAAATCAACTAAAGGTCAAGAATCAGAAGCTTTTGCGGTATTATCACAAATTTAATTTTAATTTTGTGCCATTTTATTTTTGTTATTTTTAAAAATGAAATTAATTTGTGTTGTGATACAATTGAGAAAAGAAATAAGTATGAATAAAGTTAACCGAAAAATAATTATCACAAGTTTATTGGATGTAATAATAAATGATGAATAGGATTCAATGAGAGAATTGCTATATGATATGATATGATAATGCAGAATGATTTGATAATGAATGATTACGTTAATCATATCAAATACATTTGATCATTTCAGTTGTTCAAGGAAAGATTTCGACAAAAAATTCACGTAATGTTGGCAAAATTTATGGAAAAACAGAAAAACGAATTTTCAGAAAATATTTCGACAATAATAAATCACGTGGGAGATCTTGATAAAGTATTAATAGCATTTTATAGTAATGCATTTAGTTTCATTAAAGTATTAATTAATTAAATTTTATAGCAATATATTTAATTTCACTAAAGTTTTAATTAATTAAATTTTACAATAATATATTTAGTTTTGTTTCTGCTACTTTGATTAATCGAAATTTAATTGCAATGTTATCTTATCAGTTGTACAAGAAAAGCGATAAGTGTAAGATAAATGTTAAGCAGAAATAATTCATTCAAAAGGAATGACTGAGAAGTTGCATTTTCTTTTTTTTTTTTTTTCAGAGAGTTGATGCTAGTTTAACGAGTCGTATTGAAAATATGAGTGATATAATTACTCATATTGATCGTAAAAAGAGTAATCTGCATAAAATCGAAGAAGATTTGGATTACAGTATTGTTTTGGTGAAATCATTATTTGATCAACGACAAGTTGAGTTAGAGAGAAAGGAGAAAAGTGATAGGCCGAATTTTGATGAAGAAAGTTATAAATTGAGGGAAAAATATAGCCAAATTAGCCATAGATATACGGTATTCTTTTGCAATTATTCATTCAAAATTTTCTACTGAAATATGACACGTCATTTTATGTTTGTAATTCTGATTTGATGCAAATAGGCATTAAAAGATATTTGATCAATTGCAATTAGGCATTGCAGTATGCTTAATTGATTGCAATTAGGCATTGCAGTATGCTTAATTGATTGCAATTAGGCATTACTGTATATCTGATCGACTGTAATTGGGCATTGCAGTTTTTGATCGATTGCAATTAGGCATTGCAGTATGTTTCATTGATTGGAATTAGGCATTACGGTATATCTGATCGATGTAATTAGGCATTACAGTATGTCTAAGTATGCATGATTTGTTACTATCGTATTTGTAATAGATTGGATTTTAGAAACTGGAAGAAAGGATGGAAAATATAGAAAAACAGTATGAAGAATTACTTTATGCAAAACTGGATCGTGATGAACAAATGTATGATATAAAAAGTAGACATCGTAAGAAAGTGACATCAATGTCTTAAATGGAAATGCATCATTCTGCGCCATATGTTGTCAAATCTATCCCTGTAACTTCTTGTTCTTTCCTTTTTTCCCCCAGAATATCAATCAATAACTGATTATAAGTCTCTTCTCTGACCTGTCCATAGACAAAAGAACGGAAATTTTAGTTTTAGAAAAAATGGCAATATTACGAAAAATTTATTCATTACAAAATATTAGAAGAAATATCAAAAAATGAATAAAATAAATGAAAATTCCGTTTTTGTTTTTGTTCTTTTGTGACTAAAATTGACTTTCTTTTAGCATTTTTGTCAACTCATACAGATGTCACACATTTTTGATAACAAAAAAGAAAAAAAAAAGTTGTTTGCTATTTAAATGATCAAATTATCGTTACAACAATGTAGAATAATTTGTCAATCTCGTTTGCTTCAAAAAAAAAAAAAAAAAGGGAAAACTTAAATAGGCAAACAGTTTAAATTTGAATTTTCCAAATTAAAATTAAAATTTCTCTACATATTTTACAATTCACGAAAGCTCAATTTTAAATTATTGTTTTAATTTCTAAAATGAATTTTACTACCACAGGTAAACAAACTTATGACACAAATTTAGGTAACATTATTTGAATTCTCAATTTGAATATGCGAAAATGAAATGAATTTGAAACGCTAATTAACACTTTGTAGTTTTAAAGTACTAATTAGCACTTTAAATACTTTCGAGTTATCAAGTTATTCTATTTCACTTCTATCTCACTATTTCATTTTTTATTTTATATCTTATTATTATCGGTTAGTTGTGTATGCAAAGTGATTGATATCCATCTCATTAGAAAGCGTTTCATATTATCATCTATTTATCATTTCGTCATCATTTCATTTATTTCTATGATATGACAATTCCATCTGATATCTGTAGTGACGATATTAAACATTCTCATCATCTTTTCATCTTTCAATTGTTGCTGCTGGATTAATGGTTGACATATTGGTACACATTTGTGGAATAAAGACTATTTCATTCAAAAAAAAATTTGATAAATTCTTTTATCTGCTCATATTTGTTCTTGAAATGAGAAATGTTATCAGAGAAGTGATTGTTGACAGGAATTGGTGATAAATGAAAAATGTTATCATATGAGATGAATTTTTTGCATATTAACAAATTTAATGGAATTAATGATAATATGTTAGTTATCATCATTGTAGGTTAAAATAGTAAAAGAATTTTATTTGGGAAATATATTTTCACTGTAAATTAGGAATATTTTAAAAGTAAATGTTATAGTTTAGCAAGTTTTTGACAAAAATCATCCTGAATGAAAAATTCAATCAAAAAATTTTAAGTTAAAAGCAATAATCTTTGTCTGGTAAGTTAAGTGTAAATTATCGAAATTTTAATTAATAAACGTCTATTTCATAGAATAACTCAATTGCGTATTTTTAGATCACAATAAATTGATATGCAAACACCGTCATAAACTGATATGTAAATATCGTGATAAACATAATCGTGATAAACTGATATGTAAATATCGCGATAAACTAATATGTCAATCTTGCAACAAATCATAATTATTATGAGGACTTCAAAATGATTAAACCATTGTATGATATGACGCTTAACATTGTATTTAGTGATAAGACCAGCACGATTAAAATCAATCGATAAAAGTATTATTGGTTTATTCGGATTGGCATTAAATCAGCCAACAATTTGATTTGATTTTTGACTAATCGGTAGATGCTAATATCTGAGAATATCAATCGATTTATTAAATTGTGATAAGGAAAAATTGATAAGAAAGGTATGCAAACTCATTACAAAACAAACTTGTAATCATTTCATTCATTTCGTCGAGTAAAAATCATTTTCCAGATTCTAATTTTTGCACTTTCTCGCGATTTACACATTCCTAACATCACATGATAATGTAAATTTCCTTATCAGTAAAAAATGAAACTTTAATCTTTATTCAGTTTCTTTCAAATTTCCATCAATTCATTCAATTCAATTCAAAACCAAACAATTCATCCAAATTTACTGATACTATTATACGTAAAGTTATAATGTGAAATTTATAAAGATTTAAGTTTTTTTTTTTTGCTTATATGATCTTATCATACAGATGCTTTCTTTCCAAACTTCTAAAAAGATTAAACAAATGTTGACAGGAAGTGATAGCTTCAACTGGAACAGTCATCGCACTAAGATAAGAGGTTTTAAAATTATGATAAGGAATTTTGTGAAACTATGACTACACATTATCATTCCAGTGATAACCGTTAACAGTACCAAGATAGGTTAGGCTGTATTTTCTTCTTCAAATAAAATTATTCCCCCGAGTAAAATTTTGTCTGCTAAGCAGAAGGTTTACTTGAAGTCATTCAGTTTAAGCCAATAGCTTATTTTAACACTTCATCCTTTTTAAAATAGGCCTACAAACTGAACTGTTTATGAGAATGTGCTTGAATTATAGAGGCAAAGTTTTAATTCTTCAGGCAGCAATGATTCAGTTGAAGATTGCTTTGCAAATAATCCAAAAGGTCATAGTTCACCACAAATCTTCACTTGGTTACTTCGCATTTGCGTCTTATGTCCTCAATTACTTACTTTCATTTTGCTAGTGGTGGGATTTGATGTTTGCATTGTTTTTCTCGTCTCATCGGTTTGGGAGTGGAAACGTGAAAAAAAAGTGACGAAGGGTTAAAGGTTAGGTGATGCGCATGTATTTGGAGATTGTGCGAGTCGTGAATGCTCCATATGTGTCTTAAATTGTATTGGTTATGGAAATTCTCACGTATTTATAATCTACGTCTTGTGTAACACGTATGATTGATTTATCTTTTTTCAGATGTATTGAATTTGTTGGAGCTGTACGTGAAACGAATTTACCTTCCCTTTCCCGACGCTAGGGGCAAATGCCAGCTGTGGTAAAAAACAGTGATCGATTACGTAAATTGGCTATCGGTCTTGGAATTGCACTATGTGGATCAGCTATTGGTGTTTTATATGACCAGGAACGATTTTTCCACCTTGGACCTTTTCGTGTCGTTCGTGCTGGTGTCACGGTATGGTACTTTTACATAGTTTTTTCAGGCAAGAAAAATGCTAGTATTCCATCCTTTTATTCTTAGATTACTTACTATTCAATGCAACTGATTTGTGACGATTACAAATGATACTGTATTGCTTCTGTCTTTATCCCTTTTCTCCAAAAATAAGGATGTTTTTGGAAGTTAAATTTACTATAAATAAAGATCGAATTCTTTGCTGTTCAGCAATAGATGTGGAAAAGAAATATGATCATAGACTACATAGGTTATTTACAATAATTTTCTTCAGGTATTTTGTGTTATAGCCGATTATAAATGGACCATGTGGACTTGTTCGGGTACTGATACATTGTATCATCAAAAATTGAGTGCAGCACATGTTAGAAATGCTAAGAAACTGCTTAAATTAGCTGAGAACAATGGTGGTGTCTATATTAAAGTAAGAATTGAATTGATTAGACATTGGCTTTTCATGTTAGCATTTTCTGAAGTTATATTTCCTCCATATTGATAATCATGTGAAACATATCTGATGTTCTGCGGGACCTAATATTATAACAATATCATTTATAATCAAGCAGTCTGTATTTATCAATGATTAGAAGCTTTTCCCTCAATCTTCAAGATTTCAAAAAATATGTCGTAGCATACTACATGTTCAGGTCGGACAACATTTGGCTTCTCTAGAATATCTTCTTCCGGTTGAGTACACGGATACTTTATGTGTTTTGCATTCAAGAGCACCCGAGAGTAGGATGGATGAAGTGCGACAAGTTCTAGAGGAAGATCTGAATGTCAAGGTAAGTAGTATGATTAGGATCTGAATGGTGCTGTTATGCTCCTTCAGCTCCTTTCTGCAATTTTGGAGATGACGTAATATTTGCAATCTGTCGTTTATTAGCATCTATTTATTATGGGCTTAATATAGATAAGATTGCAGGAAGTACCAATCATATTGATGTATGTAATTCTATCCGATCTGTTATTTTCAGCTCGAAGACATATTCGTGGAATTTAATGAAAGTCCCAAAGGTTCTGCATCGCTTGCACAAGTGTATCGAGCAGTTTTAAAGGAAAACAATGAAGAAGTTGCTGTGAAAGTACAACATATCCATGTAAAACCAAGGAGTTGGGCTGATATCAAGACGATTGAGGCACGATATTTTTGTTAGATAAAGGGAGTTTATACAGGTTAAAAAAGCAACACTAAATAATGGATGATTTTTGTAACAAAAAATAACCTTCGCCACTTCTCCCTTTGTCCGGATACTTGTGAAATAGGAACTGGAATGATTGATTGATTCTAGTAGCTAGTGCCAAAGTCGTGGATAAAGTTTAGGTATTCAAAAAAGAATTTTTCTTTCCAGGGCTTAACTAGGTTGGCATCAAAGCTTTTCCCCGATTTTCATTTTATTTGGTTGGTGGACGAAATGAAACGAAATTTGCCTAGGGAATTGGATTTTAGGGTTGAAGCGGCAAATGCGAAAAAATTGAAGGAAATGTTTTCACACCTCGACTATCTTAAGGTAATTTTTCAAACTCGAAATTTATTTTAAACTTGTATATATATAAATTTGAAAGAAAGGTTATGCTTGGGTAATTAATCCAGTTGACCTTATTTCATTTTTATGATTGTAAATACAAGAGAATTATTTTATTGCGCTGCTTACTCCTTTCATTATGCAGCAGTAATGTTGTCATTACTTGAATGTGATTGTCCTTGAACACATACAGTATACGTATGTTGCAGATTCCAAAAATATACGATGAATATACGACGGAACGTGTTCTCATTATGGAATATTGTGATGGTGCCCAAATAAATGACTGCAGTTATTTTACGCAGAACAATATAAATCGCTATGATGTAAGTTTAGGGATGTATTACAACAGCTAATGACTTTCATGATTTTGATCATTTAATGCTATTTTTACACTCAGCTATTTTCATGTTCACTGTTTCTTATTCAGTTACGGTTGTGTTTATCATTTACATTATTAAAATGTCATGCTTTTTTTATTTTCTTTATTTCATATCGTACTCGTAGAATATGGCTTACTGAAAAAATTGAAAATGTTGTTTCTTCGTTTTTTCCAGACAACTGTAAACAGAGTTTTACATTACTTTGTTAATGACCATGTTGGAATTCATCAAATGAATTTTTTTTTTACTGTAGGTTTGTCGTAAACTGGGTGCACTATTTAGTGAAATGATCTTTATTAATGGTTATGTTCACTGCGATCCACATCCTGGCAATGTTTTGGTGAACAAAGCAAAAGATGGGCGTGTTTCGATCGTTCTTTTGGATCATGGACTTTATTTGGTTGGGTTTTTTACTGATGTTCTATTAAGTGAAATTTGGTTTTTCTAAAAGTTATTGGTTTATGCTTGGAACATGAATTCTTACCAGGAATTGAAGGGGAAAGTGACATGGAATGTAAATGGTGGGAGGTGGTGAAAAATAATGTAATTTTATATAAACTTGAAGCAATGTTTTTGAAGATTTCACTATTAGTGATGTGTTTATAACTTGCAGTTGTTTGCAGTTCCGCAAAGAATGCAAATTTATTGTTTCATTTTGGCTCATTTATTACAGACAATGGAATCTGATTTCCGGATAAAATATTCGAAGTTATGGCTAGCATTATTAGAACCCGATTTAAATGAAGTTAAGGTTCGTGAAGCTCGCTTCTGTAGTAAAGTGTGGATGCTCAGCTTGGAATTTTCACTTTTTTCTCCCATCACTTTCAGAAATGTGCACAGTCGATGGGTGTAGGTGAGCTTTATGGTCTTTTTGCCTGCATGGTAACAAGTAGATCATGGGATGCAATTAACCGCGGAATCGACAAATCAACTGCTACATATCAGGAAGCAAGCTATATTTACTTTATGTCGAATTATAACCTATATAAATATTTATTTAAACGTTGCAGTTCTGTTCTGTTGATTATATAAAAATAGTTGTCATGAAGAATATTAAGTAAAATAAAAAGCAGAATATGTGCGATATGATGACAGAACTTTGCGTAACAGGTTAAAGAACAGATCATATTTCTAACTCCATTATAGCAGCGAGAAATCAAATCATATGCTGCCACGCTGATACCCGAGATTTCACAAGTTTTGGAACGGATGCCACGTTCAATGCTATTAATTTTGAAAACGAATGATCTGTTACGAAGTATAGAATATCGATTGGGGACACAAGGACGGGCTGATACTTTTGTCCAGGTGTTGCTATTTATTTCATGATAATTTTTTGGTTGCTAAAAAAGATTGGAGAAGACAGCTGGTTAGATAAAGAGTAGTGCAAATATCTGATAAATCATTTGCTGTGCCAAGTTTTCAATGGGTTGATCCTATCAGAGCAACATTTCATGACGTTAGACAGCTGAACAAATATAACTTGCCCTAAAGATATTAAGGCAACGATATAAATATCTGAAACGACGATCAACTGTAGCAAGAGTTCATATTCGTTTTCAGATGGCTCGTTGCTGTGTTCGATCAATTTATCAACGTTCTGCTGAGAAGACGAATTCATTGCTGATAAAAATTTGCGTTTATGTGCGCATGTACATTACACTATTCAAAATAACCGCTTTTGAATATTATTTAATGTTCATGAATCCATTTTATGCCAAGTCCATTGAATAGTTTGTATCAATATGAATAATTTCTGTCTAACTTCGCAGGGATTTAGGATTTTCTACTTTTGTGTTGTTCTCTCGCTTATACTGTATTGTTTGTTTCATATCTCTATCTTTGCAGACCTCGTTCATATGGATGAATACATGCTTCTACACTGGTTATCCAATTTTGTTGGTACTTTAGTGACTTATGGTAAGATGTACAGTGTCTTTTATTTGCCTTACACTTTGATGTGTTGGAAGTTCTTCATCTTTTGATTTTTCTCTTTTTTACTCGAAATGAATTAAAATAGAGTATTTTTGAATTTATGATGGTCATGGGCAAGGAAATAAGCTTCATCATCCTTCTGGGAGGTGCAATAAAGAAGGCATACTGAAATGATGACAACATTAATTGATCAGAAAATTAATATGATTCATATTATTGTTTGTACTTTCAAAGTGACAGTGTTCTGCGTGTTATACAAGTAAATAAGTTATCTTTATTTTGATATCAGAATACTTGAAATATCCGATAATTCTGGAGGATGTGTCTTATTGGTGATATAGCTGCACATTAGACTTAAGCATGAAGCTGAAAGAATACTGGCAATTATAGCAATGTACCAATTTAATGTATGTCTGTTAATTCATCTATGGTGTACACTCATTCTGTAAAATTTCTAATAAATTTGTAGGATGGGTGACTATTGCAGCTGTTAACTTTTAAGTAATTTCTCCTTTCAATTGTATTTATTGGTTAGGAAGAATATTGCAAAGTGACTGTAAGTTAATTTAATGGAAAAGTGAGTAAAGTAAGGGACAAGCTTCATAGGCTGTAAATGTAACATAAGAGGACTCTGTATGTGTTTTTTGTTCTGAAAGATAATTGGAAAACTCAAAAGACAATTGAGAAACTGCTAGATTGTCTGCGAAAGGGTTGTAAGAAGATTTTAGGAGTTGTCCAAGTATGCAAATTTTGGTGGGAAATTTCATGTCATCATCTTATCGTAAGTTGAAATTTGTGATGGTAGGCATTCACAAAAGCAGCTCGTTCATCGAAGTAAATGATATAGCTTATTTTGAAATTGATTTGAGACTATATTTAAGTAAGCCAAACATTGGCCAGTTTTGAATGGCTTACAGCAGGTGTCCTTGAAGTACTAAGAAAATACCTGGAAAATAGTTCACTGAAAATTGTTAATATTAGGTATTAATTATCTTTTGCAGATTTGATGATGCCATCAAAATTTATCCGTTATCGTTCCTTAATACCAGTGGTTGATCAAGAATCAATTAAGGATAGCTATTGTTGGAATGCATTTTTGGAAGAGATACTGGTGAAGTTAGATCGATGTGGTGATGTTAATTCACGTTGTCCTGCTTATGTTGTACCGGTGGAATATTTTTATCAAGCACCATTTGCGGAATATATGAAGTATATTGATACAAGTGTTAAGGTAAGTACTGATTTTAAAATCATTCAACAAATTTGAATTATTACTTTTTGTACGATTTTTATTGCTTTTTATAGTTGAACTGAAGTAATCATGCTAATTGTTCTACATATGCAAATACTGTTGTTCACCTTAGTTATCATTAATCTTCGCTACAGTCTAAAAATATGTTAATTTTCTGGACGTATACTACAGTATCTTGAAATTCAAAATTCAGTGCGATATGACATAATTAATGTTAGGGTTTGGGGTATTTAAAAATGCAAGGAATGCTAATATATTTCTTTTTCAAGCATTGAAGTTAACTTTCGAGTTTAAACTTTCATCGTAACCATTTCGTGAACAGTGAACTTTTTTTTTCAGATTGAAGTGGCATTATATGGTGACTATGGTTACAACTCTAAATCCATGAAGTTGTATTGGTTTGCTCGTGTGATGAAAGTTGGTGATACAGGCATCTTTAGATTTGAGCCGAAAATTCATAACATAATGGAAATTCACGAGATTTTTTTTAAAAGCTTTTTTCTGTTGTCCCTTTGGAGATGATGACATAATTTTAGGTTGCGGGTTATCGTTTATTGCTTCGATACGAGGGAATGGATGAAATAGGTGATAACGCATATGATTTTTGGGTTAATATTGGATCTGAAGATATTAGACCCATCGGTAAATTATTTTACATTTTTCGATTTTTTTTTACCTTGGTAGGTTCCAGACCGTCCATAAATTCTTGTCCAAGAACTTTCATCAATTTTTATTTCTCTTGTTAAATTTTTTCAGTATACTGATTTAGTCGTTTCCATCACTGTATTGAATAACCCGTCTTCATTGCCGTATTGTGAGTCATCACCCTTATATGAGAAAATTCCTGCGGAATAATTAGCAATTGTCCATATATTTAAGCCTGTAAATAAATAACGGTTCAAGATAAGCGTCTAAGCTGGAGATTTCAACCTTAGCTGACTTTGTTTACATAGTAAAGAGGATAATTTAGAAATATGTATAAACATTTCGAATTATTACTGGATTTCTGGCCAAATTAATATCCACAATTTAAATTTGAAAGAAACATTGTGTGATTATTTCCAGATATTGCTTATAAGAAATTATGTAAACTTCCTGTAAAAGCAGTACGTCGTTGTCTACTTAATTTTTATGTACCAATTAATTATTTAATTATGGGTTCATTAGAAATGAAACTACCCATCTACTTTATTTCTTGGTAAAAGATAACCAAGTGGACAGATTGAGCAGAAGTGTTAGCATTTGTACGGATATATGGAAAGATAAAAAATGAACCAAAATAACTAACAATTTATAAAATAAAAATAGCAGTAAGCAAATGTTCTTGTATCCCTTGTTTTGCCACTTTTAGAATCATCACTGCATACATGAGGATTGAAGTATTCGTACATGTCTGTTCTCTAATTTAAAGGGTTTGAAATGTTTATCTATCTGTTTTGAAGCTTTCTAAATGAAATATTGCAAATGTTTTCTACTCTGATACAAGATTTTGAGTATAGGTATTGTTTTAGTTCTGATTGGATAAAAGGAGTAGTTGGATAGGATAAAAGATAAAAGATAAGCGATTGAGACCCCCTAAGAACAACAAATAGAATTTGTATATTTCTTACATTTATTATCAATAATGTTGAGGATAAGTTATTTCCGTCATTTTAACTTCACAATAGTTCTCATATTCTTTTAGGTTACTGCGCAGAAAAAACTGAAACTCGAGCTTTGGTACCACCAGAAGTAATTCATAAAAGGCAGTCGAATTGGCGGAAGTACATCCTTTGCCAAATACATACTTACAGAACTATCGCTATCAACTGGCCGAAAATACAAGTTGGAAAACTGAGTATCCGTAAATTTAAGGTTTGTAGATAGAAGGTGAAATTTTGTGGAGAGGCGGTGAAAAAAAGGACAAAAGTGTTTCTAAAATGTGTTTTCATAGTTGGACGCAGTATTTTTTAATGTGGTTTTGTTGACAAGGGCAAAAGTTTAAGTCGAATTTGGTCAGTTTATATCCATCTGGTCAGTTAATATGTGGTCAATTTGATACGAGAAAATTCATATGATTATTGAATGGAGTCTTAAAATTCCAGAAAGGAGATCATGTGGAACTGCTGGATTCAATAGTTACTTTGAGAGTCCGTCCAGCGTGTGTGGAAAAAGTGATTGGTACTCGAATACATGTGCGTGTAAGCCACATGTTTCTTGATCGATCTACAGTTGATGACAATGACAGTCAGGTAGGGTCTCTAGTTTGTAAAGGTGAATGGAATGTTGATAATTACGCAATGGAAAAATTTAATTTACTAGTTAAATCCTAATGATTTAACTAATATCGGTTTCGTCTGTTTATTTATCAGTAGATTTTGAGCAATTTTTGTGCATTTTTCTCTTTTTTTGAACAATTTTACATCTTTTTCTTTTAATATCTGAAACCATTACGAGCTGTTAATACTCTGTTATAGATTACTGAAGGGGTTTGGATGGATCAAGATTCGCCTCTAATCTTTCCTGTTGGATGGGCGCTAAAAGTTGGATATAAATTGGATGCAAATGATGATTATATCAATCATGCAAAAGAAATTTCAGTTGCTTTAAAATTGGTATCTTTTATCGGATTTAAATGATATCATGAAACAGTGCTTATGAATAAGAAGCGCTTTGATTGAAACTGTGGTGCTATTACTCTTCGGAAGAGTAAGTTTCCTTTCTAATACTTGAATTTCTTATAAATTCGAGTTTGGTTCACTTCGACAGTTCTAATCATCTTTTAAAAAAATTGAGTAACATGCACTTACTATTTCTTATTCTTGAGCACTTTGCGGCATATTGACGAAGGACAACCTTCACATTAATCGTCGAATTTTTGTTATTCTCAAGGTTTAAAAGTAGTTATATTTTGAACTAGTTAAACGCAGTTCAATTTTTCTGTAGTCTTATTGCTCGAAATCATTTTAGATATCTTTTGTTCCGTGTATTCTTTAAAAAAATAGTAGAATTCTTTGAACTAGATTGAAAAAAAATTCGCATTTCAGAATATTGGAAATTTGCTTCATGTTTAAGGAATCAGATAAAAACCCATATGAAAAACGTGACACGAAGCCGTCTACGTTCAAAACAAATATTGAAGCAGAAGCTGAAGAAGATAACATTAAATGGGAAAAAGGAATGAAGCTGGAAGTATTAGATCCATTGGGTACCTGGAAGGAATTACGAGTATCAACTGTTATCGAAGTTATGAATAATGGCTTCCTCAAAGTTGGTTTTTTTAGAACATTTTTCTTCAGTAATTGAATGAGGCAATGAATTCAAAATATTAGGGATGCAAGTATTTTGTAGATTCTCTCGCTTTCTACATTTTAGTATTCTAGCGTTTAGTTTCAATTTTCTTAATAAAAAACAGCAAAATAAATGAATTTTGCGCAATTTGATGCTGTCGAGAGTTTTTTCTTTAAAGAAAAGTCCCTTTTCATTTATTACCTTTTTTAACTTATGCGTAATTGTGCAGATTGGTTTTGACGGTGAAAAAGCGGAAGATGACTCGGTACCACTACATTCCACTTCAGAGTTATTGTTTCCTGTTGGTTATGCGGAGAAATATGGCATCAAATTGAAGGGACCGAAAAATACAGGTACTTAACTTTTATCAAATCTGATATAAATTGTAGATTTTTAAAATAAGGAGAGAACTTTGAAATAGTACTTCTTTCATTACCGATATATTATCTATTCTTGTATTAGCGTTGTATTGCGTTGGTTCTAGCCAAAATCTTCGTTTTCTTTGGAATCTACTAACAGTTTTTCCCTGTCTTGTGTAGGTTCAATATTATGTCTCTTAACAGGCAGTCATATTATTGAAATTCGGAAAACGCCATGTGAATATTACTGATTCTTGAATACAACACTTTTGAGGATATGCTGATGTTGTTATGTTTGGTGTACGTTAAACTATGAAATACGTTAGAATATATGATATAAAAGCATTGTTGGAGTGGAATCTTTTTTAAATTATAATTTCTAATTCTATTAATTTTGAAGTTTTTTCTCAAATTCTTCAGGATTTTTTGATTGGACTGCTTATTTGAGACAATCCAATGCTATTGCTGCACCTGAAGAGCTTTTCAATAAATTCAACGATGATGTTTTAAGCAATTTCAAGGTTTCTTACATCAGTGATGTTGGAGAATTATGTTATAACCACCTAGTTTTCAGCATTTTCAAACAGTATTATAGAGGATACGGAAGGGGACAAGAAGCGAAGAATCTCAGAAGGCTGTAGTGATGTGCTTCGGGGTTGTTTGTCGTTGATTTTCGGGATTTTTAGAAGTCCATTTTTGTCGAAATCCTTGTAAGTGTATCTCATAATAAAAAGCTTAATCCTTCTTAACTTTGCAAAGATTGGAGCAAAACTGGAAGCGGCTGATATGTGTGAACCATATTTGATATGCCCAGCGACGATAGCAGGTCACCACGGACGACTTCTACGAATCGAGTATGACGGATGGGGTAGCAGCTTCAATCAGCTGTTCGATTATAGGTACGGTATTTCTATTCAAGAATTAACAGTAGCCCTATCGGCAGATCTTTGCAATTAAATAGTAAGAGAATTTCAGTTTTAAGTTCATTTCATTCCCTCAGTTTTCACACAAAATTTCAGAGTTGCATTTTATTATGATTCAAAACGGCAATGTTTACTGTATTAGGTCATAATAGGACATGTTTTAGGAAATTTGCAGCTAACTTGAAATATTGATCGGTCAGGAATAAATGCTAGTATCATCACTAGGTTGTATGTTATGTATGCAGTACTGGCAATAAAAATAGTCATCTCGAAGTCTCTTTCTCTTTAAATCAGAAGATTGTCAGTCTTATAACTATCTCTTTACGTGAATTTATTTTTAGATCAGCTAACATTTTTCCCCTCGGCTGGTGTGAAATGCATGGTTATAAACTGGAAGCACCAAAGATTCCAAAGATTTCAAGGATTTCACACGTACCGAAAAAGAAAAGAAAGAAAGAGTGCAAGGATAATTTTGAAACAGCTAATTCCGGTTGATCTCTTTTTTCCTGATCTTTTACGTGGAATGTTTTTTCTATTGTCATAATTATGATGTGCTTTCAAATTAATTATCCAGATCAACTTTAATCTATTGGGTCATTATAATTTATTTGAGATTTTCGGAGGCTTATATTTGCAATACTTGGAAGTATGGTTTGCTTATGGAAAAGGAAAAGATGAATTTAGAAGAAATTTCACGAAATTCAATTATTACTTTACTTCATGTAGACCAAATCCGAATCCGTTAGTTAATGCTATCGATTGTTTATCTTGTTTGTTTCTCAAAATTTTAAAGTTAATTGAAACTCAGATGAAGTGGAATGTTTCTTTGATTAACCAGTGTTTTTTCAACAGTGTAATTCTCTGCAATAACTGCATTGATTCGGATTGTAGGTATGCACAAAGACAACAGAGGTTTTGATAGAACTGATATCAGAGATGTAAGGAAAGGAAGACGATAAGATCTAATGAAAAATTCTAACAAATTATGCTAGTGGTATGAGGTCCAGATTTGTAGCTTGTAGTTTAATGCAAGCATGATTAAATTGGAATTCAATTGAATGAATACTTTTTATCTGGACAATAGACTTAACATAAACTGAGCTTATTGATGTGTTCCAAAACCCCACATTACATTTTATCGTGCAGGACTTGGAGGTTTGTCCTTTGCTTGTTTTTTTCGATTTTTATACCGTCTAGATGTCATTGATGTTATCCATTTCCGGAAATGTTCCCTGGAAGTTGTTGTTGAAGATGTGTCACGGACAGACAATGTTGATAGCGTGCCCAGTTTTTGCCATTTTTCCAGTTTTGCTGATGATGTTGTTCGTCTCGCTGAGGATTTCTTTTTCTTAATTTCTTTTCTTTCCATATCCTGTTCGTGTGTCTGTGCAGGAGAAAATTTACAACTGTTTTGCGCATTTCTTGTTCAAATCTACCATTTTTTAGCATATTTTGAATTATATGATGCATGTAATTGGTAAAATGACATGGTATAAGATGACATGAGATCATCCGAAGTTGAAATCGAAGATCATGCAAGAAGTACACGAAAATAAAATACCTTTAAAGTAGGAGCTGAAGCATGAGCATGACCCCTTGTTAATATCGTACTTGTCTCCTCAGCTGTTTCAGCTAATTTCTGAGTTGCTTTCTAAATTTAAAGAATTATCTTTTTTTTCTTTTTGGAGGAAAAAAGAGTCTATGAATAGTACGAAAAGGCGATAATTCCAACAGCAACAAAGAATCAATAATCACAACAATAACAGCAACTTCCGTCTTATTTTTACCTTAAGTAAGAAATTTTGCACAGCAGATTGATAAAAAAGGGGTCAAGTTTATTAGACAAACAACAAAAGTCATTCCCGATCGATTTTTTTCCTTTAATTTGGAAAATTATCCTAACTTGTATTGTGAAACAATAAAATGGATGTTTGAATTTGTCAGGAAAGGGAAAGGGTTCGTTGACCTGATACAGAAGCAGAACCTGATACAGGAGAATGACTAATACAAGAGGACAATTGATGCAGGAGGACGGTCTGATACAGGAGGACTTTATTTTTGCTTATAGGAGAAAGATTAGCTCACTTCATCTACTTCAAACTGTTTTGACAATATGCTATCCGGTGAATTCTCCTCTAAACTGATTGTATTCTTCGATGAATCAATTCCATCCAGCATACTTACAATACGATCTTGTCCTGTAGGTAACTGAAAAATATCATTCTTTTAAAATTTTCAAAAAAAAAAGAAAAAATGAAAGAAAATCGATGAGAAGAATAATTTAATTCAAATTATAACTGATTAGTTTTTTTCTTCTTCTTGTGCTACTAAATATTCTGTCATCGTTTGGCTACTATCAAATTTTATGACATAATATTGGTTTAAATGTAATGTCATGTTTATTTATTCATTGGAAAAGATATATCCTATACATGATATGGATAAGTCATACTGATACGTGATCATATTAGCATATAAGTATTACTCATTACACAAATTTGAATATCATTGTTTAAAATGAGTTAATTTTTCGATGGCAAATTATTTTTCAATTTAGATATACGATATAAATTAGTCCATTTCTTTGCTCCGATTATTTTTGCGAATTTTTTGATTGCATTTCTTGCCTTCTTCCCATCGCTATTTACAATATTCATATCAAAAGCGCAAAATGCAAACAATATGATGGATAGCTTGTTATCATACTATTATCATGATAAGTTTAAAATCAGAGGTTTACTGAATTATTAATTATTTCATCTAATTTATAATACTAATGAGGAGGAATAAATGATTGTAACCTTTTGTGATTGTAATACTGTACGAAATTTTTTTACAATTTCAATAAAATCAGGCCTATGCATAGCTTTCCGTTTCCAACATTGATGCATAATCTGTAAATTGAGCAAAAAAAAAAAAAAAAAAAAAAAAATTAGAAATAATAACAGAAACACTAAAATAATAATATTGGATGAATGTATTCGGTAAATTATGAATTGCAATTATTAATTTGTATTCATTAAGATTTAATTCAATTAATCTTGTCACATTTGACTAAAAGCCATCCAGAGTAATTACATCAACGAATAAATGATTGAATAAGAAAGCAAGCTATCAGGAGCATTTTTCTTTTTTTCCCCATAGAAATATGAAAGTTTATGACCATAAAGATATTAGAAAATTTATGAATAAGGTGTAAAAAATGAAAAAAACTTTTTCGATATTTTTGTTATTTAATAATGTTGGTGTAGCCATGATTCGTCCATTTCTTACAAGTGGTATTATATCTTGAACCATAGCAATATCAGGCCATGGATTACCACCACATGAATAGACCTAAAATTATTTGTTTTCAAATTAAAAGAAAGCATAAATGGAGAAAAATGATTTGCGTAAAATGGTATTTCAATTGAAATTAGAAAGAGAATATGAATTTGAAAAATTGTCACATTTAGAATCTACTTTATCCTATTATTTACTCTTCTATGTTTAAATCAATTTCTTTAATTGTCTTATCTGATCATTTGGATAAGTTTGATTTTAAGATTACAAGTAAATAGGATAAATAATGATAAGAAATATGTTAAGATTACATATATTTATACATATATCTTCCGGTTCTTCTCTTTCAATAATTTTTTTTTCAGTGAAATTTTAATTTTTTTTCCAATAAATAAACGATAAAATTAGATATTACCTCATAAATTAAAATTCCAAATGCATAAACATCACTTTTTGTTGTGAATTTTGGCTTTTTTGATAATGTTTCTGGTGCCATCCATGGTATTGGCCAAGCGATATTCTCATCATCACTGGACAATCTTCTTAATGTGATCATGATTAAAGTGATAAAATATGCTGGCCGGATGATTGTGTTCGTCTTATTATATTTTACATTAATTGTAATCATTCCGCAGCTTTTCAGATATATTTTATAATTTAGTGTTAATTAAATGTACATATTCAAGATGGATTTTAGTGATAATAAGTATTACTCGAAGATGTGATAGGCATTTGAGGCATTGGTAATCATAATCACAGTTATCGTGACCAACAGTTATCATAATATAAAATCATATTATCATAATTATAATATAATCATAGTTATCATAATTACAGATTATCAGTTGTCAGTTATACATATCACAGCCGTTATAATTACCATTACAGTTATCATAACCATACTTATCACAATTGTTATCATGATCACAGTTATCACAATCACATTTATCGTAATTACAATTATCATTGTGCACATATTTCAATTACTCACCGAAAGGAAAGATAAATTTGTTTACAAAATAAATGTTAATTTAATAATTGCAGTAAAATTACTTACTTTAAATCCTTTAAACGTCTACTTAAACCAAAATCGGATAGTTTCAATAAACCATTTTTTCCAATTAAACAATTCCTAGCAGCAACATCCCTAAAATTATTATCATAAGTAAGGAATAACCCACTAAATTGTAATCTCTCTGATAACAATGTTATCATCATCCTCTTATTCAATTCATTAATCAGTTATGCTTAACAGTTATAGGTAACATCTTACCACCTGTGGACACATTTTTTGAGTTGAAGATGTCGCAATGCTTTAGCTGCTTCATACAAAAATATATTTCGTTCTTCATTTTTAATTGTTTCTTTATGTTTGATAAGCAAATTTTTTAGCGAACCACCTGGACAATATTCCATTACAACCTGTAAATTGATTTAAAAGTATGCATGTTTTACGTGAATTGATTCAAACGTATACTTTACGTGAAAAAGGTAACAAGCATTAAACATAGAATACGCAAGTAAGAATTTTAAGATCAATTTATCATAGAATTAAATAAATTTACATCACGTGCATGTTTTACGTGGGAAACGTAACAAACATTAAACATGGAATACGTAAGTGAGAATTTCAAAGTTAATCTGTCATTTTAAGATTTTTGAACAGATAAATAGCAAAATAAAAGTTAAAGCGAATGATAAGCTTGTAATACAATATAATATCATGTAACTGATAGTTGAACATATACTTTTAACGTACGTCAAATACGTAGAAGTCCTAGGGAAAAAAAAATTTTCAATTAACTTTGTTTTAAATTAAAGCTTACAAAAAATATTTAATAATTACCTTAATAGAAAACAAAATATTTTAATAGATACCTTAATAGATTTTTTTTAAATGCTTCAATTTTCAAATAAATATATTTTCTTTTGAATAAATTTTAAATACCTTAACAGGTGCAAAATTACAAGCTACCCCATAAATTTTGATGATATTCTCATGCATAAAATCGCAAACTAATCGTGCTTCTGCGATCATTTGCGATTCCGCAAGTTTTATTTTAATAATATCTTTGGTGGATCGTTTATCAGTGATGCTAACTTTACCAACTTGCAAGCAACGTTTCACTGCAACACTAATTTCTTCACCTGAAACAATTAATTATGACATTGCCAAAATATTGCAGTGATTATATCACCAGGTAAATTCACTTATACCTGTATTTATTGGATTGTATTGGTGTTTTCAAAAATTAATCACATTTATCCATTATGTGCGATCTTTATATTTTAAGAGTTATTGATTCATTCATCGCTAAACAGTTCTGATAAATAAAAGTAAAAATGTAAAAAGCAAGATTATAAAGTTACAAGTTTAAGTGGAATGAAATACGAGTTAATTAAAGTACTCTTGATAGAGAATGTTTATCAGTCTTCTTAAATGTTGCACTCAAGAATAACTGTTAAATTTGTGTTGCTTATCAGTGATAAGTGTTAAAAGTTCAAACGAACTAATCTGCAAATAACTGTTAAATTTGTGCTGCTTATCAGTGATAAGTGTTAAAAGTCTAAACGAACTAATTTTCACTCATTACTTTTTATTAGCTCTAAAGTAACTCTTCCTTCTATAATATTTTTGCTAATAATCAATTGGATAAAGCATTGTTGGCTAAACTAACATTTAATTATGCAAATTTCTCCCTCATTTGTGATTTCTTAAGTACTATAAAATAAAATCCACAAAATTTCATTTTAAAATTGGATTATTTTTAAGTTTATATGTAACATTTTGAAATGATTTAGCATTAACCGTTCATTTTAAGCATTCCTTTAATTACTTCAGCATAATGTCCTTCGCCTAATTTGATATCTGTCATTGTCAAATTCTCATCGTTTAACAGATAATTGGGTCGATTAATTGGACTTCGTAGATTCATCTAAATAGTTTAAATTGAAATTTATTGTAATATTAATTTTTAAAGAGAACAAAATAGTTACTGAGCAATCTTTTAGGAGAATCCTTCTAGTATATCGCGGTAATGCTGAAATATTATATCAATCAATAAACGTGAAAGCTGTAATCTATTTCTGATTGAATAAATCAAAAATTTTTCATTCAGTGATTTAATCTGTATGCTTGAAATTCAAAAATTTGCAATCAATCTATTATCATATTATTATGATAATGGATTGATTTTGAAGTGATTTAATTTTAATTTAATTTTAATGACCTAATTTTAATTATGATTTAATGGCTTAATTTATTGATTTAATTTTAATTTTTTTGACTTTGTTTTATTTCGTCAAATAATTTTATACAAAATAATATTTGAAGAAAAAATAATCAAATAGTTAATAATGAATGGAAAAAAAGAGTGAAAATTGTTAAAAAAGTAGGAAAAACTTTTTGACAAAATTTTGATTCGCTTGATAAAAGTTCAATGATTGATCCATATATGATCAATTCATCATTATCATTTCTATTCGTATCCTTCATCTCTATCAATGTCCATCCTATAACTAATTGGTTGTAGAATAATTCGCAAAGTTCAAAGTTCAAAAGTTAACTATTCCATTTTCATAATTGTGATATTTGTCGTTGAAAATTATGTTTACTTTTATCAAATTCAACGGTTTGATCAATAATCACTTCTTAGCTAATAATATTTTCTTAGCTTTATTTAAAATATGACAATGAGTTATTCTAATTTTGAAGTTTTGGTTAATTGCAATAACTAAATATCATCCAAAAACTTTACCATTACTGTATCACTAGATTTTATACACCTGAGCACTGATTCATCTTCAGGTAATTAAGATAATTAAGTTATTTTTCCGGCCTTTTTCTTTTCCAATGAATACCTTTTAATTTTTCCATATAAACAAGTTTTAATTCGCGCACATTTTTTTCATCCACTTTTATGACGACAAATAGCAAACGTTTTTCATTGGTACCCGAACTACGGACACACCAATTACCCGGTTTTGATAAATGTGATGCTATGTGATCCCTGCATAAAAAAAAAAGTGATTACGGAAAAAAAGAATTACGGATTATCGGATTAAGAATTATAGTAATAGGATTTATTAATCTTTTAGTTCTTTCTACTTTTTTTGCACTTTTTGTTTGTTTTTTTTAAAATTAGAATGTAGGAAAATCCAAATTGTCTTTTCAGGAATGATATTATAAAATATCTCCGGAAATTACTCATACAACAGCGCAAATATCCTCTATTACACATCTATCAGGTAAATTTCTGCTCGATTCTTTTGTACAACCTGAATTACTTATTAAGATCAGGAACAAATTATTTACCTTGATAGAAATCCCAAATACCATGGCTGCATCTCAATTCTTTCCATCCTAAATTTAATTTAAAACAAACAAGGGGTAGAAATTGACATAACAAATGACAACTAATCAATTCAATTACTTCTTTTGTACTCTGTTACTTATGCAAATATATCTCATCTTTTCCTACTGTAATCTATTGTTGCTCATTATAACATATCTCTTCTACTGTAATCTTTTGCATATTATGATAAAATTAAATTCAAAATATTTCTCATTTGAGATAGAATGAATGATATCGCAAATTAAACCATATATTGTAATTATTTGAAAATGTGCTTTATTTATTCCGGAAAAGTTAACTACAGGTAATACTGCAATTAGTTATTAATTAGTCTCATGATAAAATGGCAATGATACATTTAAATTATATTGTAAAAAAAGGGAATACCTTGAAGGTGATAATAGGATAGTGGTAAGATGATGCGAATAATTTAACATCAAAATTAAAATACTGTATACTGTCAGTTGCAATTCTTCTCCTCAACTGCAAATAAAAAAAAAAGAAAAACTTTAGGAAAGAAGAAGTAGCCAAAGTAGTGACCAATAATTTTGATCAATTATGTGAAGGAAATATGCAAATATTGCAGCACGCATGTAAGCATGCATGCAAATCTTCCATACTGCAAATATAACAGTACATTTGACGGTAATGGCCAATAAATTTAAGCGATAAATGGAAGTGTTGATGAAATTTATCACGGAAATTTCTGCTAAATTTCGTTACACGAAGCAATTCAAAAATTTTTTAGAAATTGTGAATTTTTAATTTGTTAAAATCTAACTAATTATTGTTAACTTTCAATGATATGGCAAGATCTGTTTGCTAAAAAATGTCATACAGCTCAAGTATATTATCACAACCAAAACTTTTTAAATGGATTAGTTAATTTACAAGATGATGCAGTAGTTTGATAGTGGAGCTAACTTTTGAATAGTTTTATTCTAATCATATATATTTCATAATTTGAAGATTTTTTAAGAATAAATCACCAAAAGATGATAAACCGATCAGTTCAGGGGAACAAGATAACTTTGACCTTATCACATTGGCTAACTTCAATCATCGAGAAATAGCATTATCAGCAAGAAAAATTAAATTATAAAAGATGAATGATTATAATTTAAATTGCGGTTTTTTTTTTCAATTATTACTTCTGAATTAAATGTGGAATTTAAATAAAAAAAAATTTAAACGAAATTTAAAAATGAAATTTTGGAAATGAAATTTTTTTTAAATGAAATTTTGAAATTCAAATGAAATTTAAAGTCAAATGTTAAATTCGAAAACTATGTCGAGTTGACAGAAAAATGAGGCGCAAAATAAAGAGAAGTCAAGCGAGGACTGGAGATCTTGCATCTCGATTGCTGTTTTCAATTCATAAATAACAATTTAAAAAACCCCAGTATTTGTATCCGGAATTAGAATAGCTCTTTATTTCTTTCCGCTCATTTCATTCTCAATCTAATTGATCAGAACGAAAAGATTTGGTACTGATATCCGAACATTTTAAGAGATTTTAGCACAAGCTTGGTATCAACTGAGCAAGTTCAAACACTGTTTCCCAGCTACAATTATATGTATTGAATATTTTGAACTTTGTCTCGGTGTTTTTGTTTTTTGGATCTGTTTGTTATAGTGAGAATGAAAATTTATTCTGCACATAAAAAACTTTAATCAAAGATTAATCAACATTTTTCTTCATTATTCCACACAAATGAAATTACATTATTTACAGCAGAAAATGTTTCCATTTTGGTCCAGAACTGCCAAACACAATCTAACCACTTGTTCCAATAAACCTGAAAGACAACATTCCCACTATAGTATTACCTTAAATTTGATAATCTGAATCCTTAATTTATTTCCAATTAAAGTTGGTGACATTTACACTTCATGTTTGCACAAAAATGACTGTTTAATACTGTCACGGACCAATAATTAAAATTGTCATTATGCGTGGTAACCCTTCTTACTCCCTTAACAACTTTCTGCTGGTTCGATTGTTTTTTTTTTCAGCAGGCTTGGACGTAAACTACACTAATACATCGTTAAAACTACATGCTCTCATAGTCAAAGACATCTAACCAAATTATTATCAATACTTGAAATAAATTCTACAAAATAATACAACATCACTATAATGTGTCATGTATAGTAGTGATAATATCGATAATATTGTATGTAAAATATTGATAATATTTTGTATAGTACTGATAATGCGTATAATATTGATAATACTATTGTCACTACTACTGAAGTTTAATTAACGGTGAAATGCAGCGTAAAAGTAGTTTAGAATGTTGAAAAGAGATTCATTTACAACGTATTAAATGGCATTATGGACATACTTCTAGATGGGATGAATTCATTTCTACAACATCTGCAACTGAACCATTTTCCTTCGCTACAACAATTGCACCAAAACGAATCTAAAAATGAAGATAAAATCAAGAAAGCCGATTTCAAATTATGGAGTTTACTCTAAGCTTCGTAATAAGAGAAGTTGGCTCTTTCCAATCTCAAAAATATCGCAATGGCTTCTTTTTTTTTTTTTTTTTGTAAATTACATAGATATATAACAAAATTTAAAAATTCTTTGGTAGTAAATGATAAACTATGGATTGGTTCAATAACTAAGTAAATGCTAAGATCCCATAACATCAGTATATGACTGAAATAAGTACTACGTTAAAATTATAACGCTTTCGTAAACGC